AATTGCAGCCATTTCAAGCGCAAAATAGTTTAACACATGCTTTTTTTGGCCGTTAAATAATGGCGCAAATGCCAGTAATTTGACGAGCGCAAACGTTAGTAAAGCGCGTTGCGTGATTCATTTGAATACTCTCCTCCCATAACTTTTGCCTCTGAAAGGGAAACTCCTAAAATGCATATTCAATAAGGTCAGGCGTGTCCACGCCTTTTCAGCGCTAATTCGTCACTGCGCGTCTTTAGTAAAACCTGACAGTACAATTTTAATGCCAACTGTAATGTCATTTTAAACATGTGTAAAGAATTTATATTAAATAAATAACCTATACAGTATATTGATGCTAAACTTTTCAAGACTCCAGCTCAGTCAGCCTTTAAAGCTTTGTTTATCTGCAGACTGCCTGGTGATTGTTTCAGTGATGTGAGGAATTGTTTGTAGCCTGATATTGATATACTGTAACACACAGTAAATTTGGAAATAAGGTTATTTTTAGTATACAATATTGTCATCTTGCTCCACTGTTCAGCAAAGACAGAGCCAGGGGGCCTGTTGCTATTGCAACACAGATCTAATCACTGTATTGCTCTCCGAATCGCTTTGGCTTATAAATCTTCAGAGGACAGAAAGGCAGACAAACATCTGTGTGTTCGTCAGTAGGAAGGTCAAAGTTAACCATCAAACATGAGGACATTGGGGGTATTACTGCAGATATCATCTACAAATATCCTTAATGTTTGTTTCCTGTAATTTAAAGGCACATTTTGAAGGACAAAATCAGCACTGCCACAGTCTCTGCATTGCAGCTCTTGAATAATAGAGGAGGTGAGAAATCCCAGAGCTGAAGAAATGTCTCACTGTGTCATGCTGTTTCAGTCTGCCAGGGTTGAGACCACTGCTGGATGTAAATTACCTACCCCTGACAGATATGAGGATAGCGAGAACGTTCTGCTTCACCAACCTCGGCCAGGCCTTGTATCTGACTTCCCCTACTGAGATCCAGAGGATCACCTACAGCCAGGAGGTCTGCGAGAACTTACAGGTGAGCAGAACTGTTCTTCTAGACTCTTCTGTTGCACAGTATTTACGACAATGTTGAAGATGATGATGATGATTTAATTGTGTAACAGGAGATGCTAGGTGAGCTGTTTACTCCGGTGGAGACGCCTGAAGCTCCTAACAGGGGATTCTTTAAGGGTCTGTTCGGAGGAGGAGCACAGTCTCTAGACAGAGAAGAGCTCTGTGAGTCCTTTTTCATTATCTGCTCTTTACCCTTAGATGCCTAAAGTATCACAGCAAGAATGGTACAGTAGGAATGTAGACCACAAACAGAAAGATGACTATTTAGATGTAGGGAGTCTGGAGCTAGTTGTCTCACTTTTTACTTAAGTAAATATATTTTTCAGGGTAGGTTCATTTCCCAGTCACAATAGATGTTGCCATTGAAAAGCCCGAATTGTTACAATTATCATTGTTAAATTGTTATCATTAATAAATTATACAAAACCACAGCATCTAAAACACACTGGCAACCTGAGATTCATGAAAAAAGAATATAAAATAACTGGCATGTATGCCAGTGTATTTTATTGTGCATGGTGTTTCAGTTGTTTACCCAACAACTATTACAAAAATATAATTATTTTAAATAATTTAAAGATTATTCAGATATAACATGGTTTTGAATAATGCATCTGAATCCAACATACAAAATTATGTTTATGAAACTACATAGAGATAGAATTTTGACAAAAACCTATTACCAATGTTGTTATTTTTAGCTAAAATATAAAAATAGTTTTTGTTAATTAAAATATAAATAGATGAAAATCTTGAACTTAAAAAACCTAAACAGAAAATTAGAAATGTTGCCTGGGCAACTAACTGAAATAAGGTGAAGTTACTGAAATGACTAAAACTTAAAATAATAAATTAATGCTAAATTGAAACTTAGCACTTAAACGCTTACTTTAACGCTTTAAGTATAATGCATTACGAAGGGTTATTAAAGGGTGTAGTGTATTATAATTAATCATAATGTGCGTAGTATTACATTATATCTTGTTGTATATAATTATAAGTGGATTTAAAATGCATAGTGTAACAATGAATTGAGATTGTACAGTGCATTATAAGGTGCATTACAAGGCATAACTAATGCATTAAAACTACTTTTATAATGCATTATACATAAAGGCTTTAAGTAAAGTGTTAACATTTTTTTTCTTAAATCTAATAAATATGACAAAAGCACATAACAAAATACACAAGCACATAACTAAAAATGAAAAAAGAAAAAAATATATATATATAAATACAGTGGTGTGAAAAAGTGTTGGCCCCCTTCCTGATTTCTTATTTTTTTGCATGTTTGTCACACTTTAATGTTTCAGATCATCAAACAAATTTAAATATTAGTCAAAGATAACACAAGTAAACACAACATGCAGGCAGTAAATGAAGGTTTTTATTATTAAGGGAAAACAAAATCCAAAACTACATGACCCTGTGTGAATATATATATATATAATGCAAAAATAACACTGGTGACAACTGTGACATCTAACCTAGGTGCTTCCTGTGCCTCTTTGCCATCTTAAGTTCTGTTCTCAAAAATGGCATCTTCACTATGTTGTCATAACCAGTGTTGGGAGTAACGCATTACAAAAGTAATAATATTACAGTAGTATATTACTTTATTACATTTTGGAAGTAACTTGCCCAACACTGGTCATAACAGAGAGCTCATGTGTGCTCTGTTGTGCTGTCACCTCATTTGCAGCATTCTTTCCTCCTCTTCTTTTCACACTCAGTCGGCGAGTCCGGAGCCGGAAAAGCACCACGCAGTCTCGCTCAGCACATTCCAGGTCCTGGGGGTATAGAAGGCATGAAGGGGGCAGCGTCAGGCATCGTGGGTGATCTCGCTCGAGCTCGGATAGCGTTGGATGAGAGAGGGCAAAAACTGAGCGAGGTGGAAGAGCGGACGGCAGCCATGATGGCCAGCGCTGACACGTTCTCCAAACACGCTCATGAGGTACAGCGTTACCACCGCTGACGCCAATAACAGATGAATCACTTCGTAAAAATAGCTAAACATTTATATTACATAAGTTCATTTTATGTGCATTGTAATCATTGTGGCAGTGCAGCTGGCGTCTCTAACTTTGATCTTCTTTTTACTCCCTGTTGCAGATGATGCTAAAGTGTAAGGATAAAAAATGGTACCAGTTCTGATCTCCGCAAGACAGCAGAGCCCAAAGGGACTCAGGAGTTCTCCTACACAGCCTTGTTCATCCGTAATCCTTCTCCCACTCCCATCTTTATCTCTCCTCTGCTGGACCAGTGGGATCCCTCGCTCTTTCCTAGCACAATATTAAATACAGTCTGCTTACAGAACTGCGGCCCCAATCTGAGGAATACCATACCACGATGGCGTCCACTCTTCCGTTTTTGTTTGTTTGTTTAATATCGCCAATCCCCTCTCATGGCGGCTGGGCTTTGCACGCCCTGGAATTCCATTTCTTCTCTCAGTCTGAATTGTTTTTGTGCTGTTGTTTTTTTTGCAATCACGTCCTGCCTCCCACATCGGAGAGCAGTAAGTAGTCAAAAAAGACGGACAACTAAAAAATACAATAACTAAAACAACAAACATAATAAAAATCTAGAAAAAGAGTGTATGTATGTATATATATATATATATATATA